AATTCATCGATGGTTTCTACTCTTGCTGTTATATATATCGGTACCTTTAATCTGTTTCTATCATCGACGAATTTCTGTCTCAAAGGCGGTAAGAATTTCGTCGCGAACCACGCCATGCTTGGCATCCTATGACTTAGCACTCCTTCATAACATTCAACAAAAACGCGCTCAATCATATCGGGGTTTCTCATCGTAATCAGGTGATTGCCTTATCCGATCATTTTATTGGCGCGCCCCTATTTCTTTCCTGTCGCTAGTGCACACATAGCTGGCGTCTCGCCGGGGAGAAATCTTTGAGCACGCGCCTGTATTACTGCTCATTTATAGCTATCATGCTGAGGGGAACAGCACCGCAAACAGAATCGAAGGCCACCCATGTCTCGTCTGAGGTCCTGGCAGTTGCTCTTCAGGCCCTTATTATCCAGCAGGGGCAGCGGGTTTCTCCGGCTCCCGGAGGTAGTGCACCAGCTGCCCCTCGGCCGCGAGACAGGCAGAGAGCTTTTCTGTCTGCCCCACTTCGAGGTCTGCCCCCAGGGAGAAGGAGGGATATTCCTGCCCAACTCACGGCAGAGGGCCTCGTTCAAGGAGCGACACCGTGCCGTTCCTTCTGCAGCTGAGAGGCAGAAACGGAGCGAGTTGTGCGACGCTCGGCCCAGCACCTTTCCTGCTGACGTTTTGAGTGGGGGCGGTCGTGGCCGGGGAGCTCTGCTCCGTGCCACGACTCTGCCCAGACATTCACGGCAAGCCTCGTCTCAAGAGGTAGATACGACGGACGAGACCACTGAGCCTTCCGCTCTTTTGTCTGACCAGGACCACATGGACTGGGAGAATCCCAAATCAAAGAATAACTACAAAAACACCAGTAATTCCACCAACGTAGCTTTGTTTTGGAGCTTTATTTCTGGATTTTATTAAATGACTGTGTGCCGTATATATACATCTACTCCTAATATTATTACCTCCACTTCTTCTCCAATAGAACTGTCGAGCCCTCCTTGCAAACTATGACGATATTTGTACTTCACAGTACCTAAACGTGCAAACTTCAATGATGTTACTGACCTGCTAGAGCAACACAGTCCTATTGCCTTCTTTTTGCAAGCGGATCATTTAAAGGAAAGTCACTTGAAAATACTGAATCATTCCCAGGTCTTTCGCATGGATCGTCAGTATTCAAGCTGTCCATCTGTTAATTCCGGTGTTGCCTTAAAACGTTCGGTCCCATGCACCGAAGTACACTTAAACACACTACTAGAAGCAGTTGCTACCCGTATAATGATTGACAATGCAATAACCATGTGTTCTGTGAACATACCTCCGAATTATCCATCGTATAATGCTTGACAATGCAATAACCATGTGTTCTGTGAACATACCTACGAATTATCACCTCGAGTATGAAGAAATCGAAGCTCTTCGCGATCAGCTACCTCATTCTTTTTTGCTCATAACCCGCATTGGGGAAGTAGACGAAGCGATAAAGATCAACACTTATTGAGCGTTTTTTACTTTCCACCGGATTGTGTTTGCCCAAGCCTAAAAAGGCTACGCACTTTTCCTCAGCAACATATATATTGAGATCAATCGCCATTTCAGTTTACTTCCAGTGTTCTCATGGAGGGCCATCCCTAATTCCT